GGGGCCTGCTCATTAAACCTTTTGTTTAGCGACGTTGCCGTTGCCGTCGTGGTTTTCTTAAACCCACTAGTGAGTCGAGTCAGTGATTAATATTTCCTTGTTGTGTGTCATCCATGTGCCGTCCATTAGCACAAGGATTATTCCTTTGGCTAGTCCTACTTGACACGTACTTTTTTTTAATTTTAAATTATTTAATATTTTCCATCTCACAGCTGGAATTCCAAAATAGTATCGAAAGATCAGATCCAGATTTCAGACGCCTTCTCAATCCTAGCACCATGCAGAGTGCTCCGTATGACTGCTTCGTCAATCCTCAGGCGATACACAAGGTAGTTGGATCAATCCTTTACTATTGCGTTGCGTGATTCGTGGTAAGCGAGTGAGTTGTAACACAATCCAGGAAGGGAAGGAGGGAGATGGAGGGCAATCAACAAAGATCAAGTGACCGGATCGAAGATCACTTCGTACTGCCATGGTCGTAATTAAAGTGTTTTGTTTTCTAACCTTAATGTATTGGCTGTCTCTTTTTCTCATACGGAACGCTATTAAAGCAGCTGGACCAGGCCGAGGAGACGGAGGAAGGAGGGAAGGTGGTTGGGATGGAAATATGGAAGGAGGGAATGAAATGCCAAGGGAGGTACAGACGGAGACCTAAGGAGGGAGGGAGGAAAAGAGTGGGAGATCAAGGGGGTGGAGGAGGTGGGAGAGATAAAAAAAAAAAGGAGGAAGTGAAGGAAAGAAGGGAAAAAGGAAAAGAAGAAGGGAGTGAAGGTGGGAGAAAGACAAACGGAATTTGGGATAGGTGAACGGAAAAGGTGACAGATTTACTTCCATAGTAAAAAGAGTGACCTAGTTTAATGCCATTGCTTCTGATCGTAGTAAGTGACTGTGTAATTCCCTTTAAGTTCCCAGTGGCCATGTGAGTTTAACTCAATCACTTTTCTTCCCTAGGTTCGTTTCAACCCCAACAAACAATCGTTCACGTGGCTTGCCACCGGTGGAGGGGCTGGCCTGGTAAGACTACATTTAGTTAAAGAGGTCAAACCGTGAGAAGACGGTCAAGGCTGGGTTACAAAGAGCATTTTTCGGTGCCGTTATAAAGGAGTAAGAACGAAATGGGGCTTTGAAGCAAGAAGGTTTTTGTTCTGAGCGTCAGCGAAGTCAACGAGATTTTACTTGCTCAAATCAATAAAGGTGATGGTAACGCGATTAGCTTTTCAGAGAAAACAATAGTTGCAAATTGAATATGCGAAAAAGTGGCGATTGAAAAAGAGAAAAAGGGAGATTATCAATAAACATTTCTCCCTTCTTCATATTGTGATAAAAGACGAGGACATTGTGGTCGACATAAAAAGGTCCCGGTTCACAAACAGAACGATCAGAAGGGAGGGGAAGGTAAAGAAACCGAACGTGTACTAGCAAAAATGGTGAAATTTTTGAAGAAATTCTTGAACTTCTCCTTAGTCTGTGGCTTACACTTTGAAAAGTCTACTCCTTAGAATATTCCTTAGAAAATTTCAAAAGAAAAGTGAATTAGTTTTAACTTAAACGAAATTATAAATGCCCAAGTCTTTCTTTTCGGCTTATCATGTAGGAAGATGAAACATTTCAGGTCATTCCTTCATCTAGTTACTTGCAAAGTAATTAATGGTACATAAGTCGAAAAGGCTTGTTAAAGTGAGCTCTATTTATTGAATTATCTTTATGAAGCCCAATGAAGTAGGGTCTTCATAAATCCTTTTTTTTCGGAGGTACTTGATAATAATTATCAGTCGTATCTTTAAGAAACTCGGTTCTTTTGAGCTTGATCTTGCGCGGTGTGTTATCTTCTCTTCGACACTTCTACGAAAGTAAGATACTGTTAACTGGGAAAAGTCCAGTTCGCGGATAGGGTATATATATTTTTCTTTTATCTTCGAGGCACAATGCGACCAATCACTCAACGTGCAAAATATGCGCCTAATAGTGATTGATGTCATTAACTACGGCCGCTGCGTCTTCAAAGTTGCACTGAGTTGTACCGTGCCCTACATGCGGTTTTACTTAACCGCCTGGCCCAGTTCTAAGCTCTTGAGCTTCTTGTTTTCAGTGTATAGCTGTTGCACGATTTTAGGACGATTGTTTCATTATTTATTCCTATGTAACTTATTTTTACAGGCTTTTGTCTGGAACTTATTAAAAAAGAATATTAAATGCATTCTTGAAATAATCCTTCCATGTCAATTCTAAAGCTTTTTTTAACTGTTCTGAAAGATGTTAAGGTGACAGATGTAGATTTAGATTTAGATTCCGTATTTAATATCATGGCTATCAAATTCTTAATTTTGGCGCGAACTTTCAGCGATAATTTATAATTTCACCTGTGAAATTAAACAATGGCGCGAAATTTCTCGATACAATGAAAAAGTCAATAACCCGCGATTGTAAGTGTAATTTGTCACCCATGATATTAAAAGGTAACCAAATGGTATAATCATGAAATTAAGAAATAATTTCACTTGCGTTTTGTCAAAATTCTAAATTATTAGAATTGTGACAAAACACGCGTGAAATTATTTCCTAATCTCATTCGCCGCCATTTGATTACCCATACTTAAATGGTTTGAGCACCAGGGAACCGACTCCAGTGAACCAATCAAAACTCGCGGCAAAAACATGTTGGTTGAGACGAAGCCCGGGAAATCGTTTGGGTTTGGTTTTACTTCTGATTGGATGACGCGAAGTGACGCGGGTTTGTTGAGCAAATCGGTCAGCATGGCATTACAAAACCAAAGCAACTGTGTGTTACTTTCTACACTTGTGAAATCCTCTTAAAGGAGTTACGCCACGGTTAGCGAATCTTCAAAAGTTTAGCCTAAAGTTTTAAAGTTCGTCGTTGGTAATCCGTGTATATCTTTTCAATCTTTAACCATCCTTGTTTCCTTGTGGTGTATATTAACACTTAAGTGTTGTTCTATCGGTAACTATTATTTTCAGGGGGTTTTTTTTCAATGAAAAGGTAATTTTGTTGTACGTGGCCAAACTAACTCAACATACAGTTACTGTGGTCCTTTAAAGAGCGCGCGTTATTTGGTAATGGCATAATGTAGCGTTTTTCATGTACGCTTGTGTGATGAAGTTGCATCTGTCACGCAGTATCTAAGGTAACAAACACCAAGGGGTACCAGTCTGTACGTGAAAAACGGCCCACAATTCCTCACCATGATTGCTGTGCTCCACCGGCAGCAGTCATTGTTCCAATGAAAACACACTGTGCGGTTGACTGCGCGCTCTTGTGGTGTGGGATGAGTCCCATTTAGCCAACCGGACGCATGCGTATTACACATGTAGCTATTCACGCAGTAGTCGGGCATTCTTACGCCCGCGGTACTGTTAAAGCGGTACCAGCCTTCAACCATTGTGCGGTCACATTTTTGGAATCGGGACAAACTTCTGGTGTGAATGCTTCGATCCAAATCCATGTTTGTCAAGTACCTGTCGCATCCCTCTCCTGTTATTCACATAAAAAGGAAAGAAAGTAAAATACGGTTGTCACTTAATTTCCTTGTTCCTTGTCTGACACAGAACTAATTGTTATGGTAGGTCAGATTATATATTGTCAATGAGGATAATAGCCCATTTCCGAGTTGCCCTGAGCCTCTCTATGAAAGCGAGGCCAGGTCCACAACCATTCATATGAAAATGAGTTTAATTTGCGTGTTAATGAAATCTAATTTTCATATGAAAGAATGGGCACCAAGACTCGCTTTGAAAACGAGGCTAAAGGTAATTCGGAAATGGCCTATTCAGGTCAATCGATCACTTAATGTGATGTAAATTAATTTACTTCCCAAGAATAAGAAAAGAAAAAATGCCATATATTCTTTTATAGTGAGAAGTTGAAGTCTTGAGTGCTAAAAATATTCAATTCCTGCTACTAACTTAAAGCTGTAAGCAGCCGGGAGACCTATACGTTTCTTTTGTTCGACGAGGAGAAAGAGGGAGGTTGTCGGTAGGGGGGATCATATTACACAGGGCATCAGCAACTACAGGGTGCTTACACGATAATAAAATCAAAGGCTTCTTAGAGCAACCTCGTGGTATGTATTGATGGCACCCTTGGTGTAACCTGCGATCTGGCGTTCTTTGCAAAGTCACCTTTGATCGTAGGCCACACGTGACGGCACAATATTATGTTTGTAAGAGTATTAATGGCGAAAAATTTTCTTAAATTTTGAATTTTTGAAGAATTAGTTAAGATATAGGCAAAGGTTTGCATTGTTCAAATTTGAGGGATGGAGATGTACACAGGGCATCAACAACTACAGATAGCTTACACGATAATAAAAAAATGAAAAAGGGCACTGGTTGTCCAAAGACCCTGTTAGGGATTGTACGATAGTTTGTAAAGTTGATGTTACAAGAAGTCTCTATGATATACATGGTGATTGTCTTTGTTCTCAGCTTTTCATTTCGACAA